AGCGTCGTGCTCGGCCTCGTAGGACACGGTCGTATCTGCCATGGCTCCTCTCGCTGCACCGTTATACGACGCCGTAAACTCCTTGTACAAGTTGCGTTCACGGTAGCGAATTTAATTTATTCTCCCCTTCTCCGAGGTCACTATTAAACGTGCAGCACGTGTCCGCCTAGAACTCCCTCGTACGGTTGGGCGAGCAACGAAAACACGTGTAGCGCGTGCTTTGCGGCGACGCCACGGATGGCGCTACGGTCACGCGGCGCTTCTTCGTGATTAACTCCCTTCACAGCCGATGATTGTGCTGTTTCTGACACTAGCGTCGAACGTTTCCGTCTATAGAAAAGGTATGCTTTCTCACCATTGTGTCGTTGAGCATTGAAGGTTTATTTCAGTTTAATTTATTTCGAATTTAACGTCGAACCCCAATTTAAAGGTTAATCTCAATTTTATCATTTTCGATATACAACTTTTTTAGGAATTTTGCATATATTCTTATAGAGATATTAATTTAATAGGGTGTTTCTTTAATTGCGTGAATCTACCAGCACTAGTATATGTATATTTGAAATTTTATTATTTGATATTTTTTACTTTTTTTACTTTTGGTATCGATACTTAACAATAATTAAATTCTGTTGTACAAGACGAATGAAAGGAGTCTTCTTACGTATCTGCGTCATTTGTGAACTTAGTATTCGATCGTGGTGACGTTAGTGAGTTAAGGTAAAACAATTAATCGTTTTTTCTATTAGTTACCATATTCATTTATTGAAGATTGTCTCTGAGTACTCCTGCGTTTTTGGAAATAAAGACTGAACATATTGTAATATTTATCATAAGTATAATACTGTAATGAAGCTAGGGAATAATATGAAGTTCTCACAACAGAAAAATTACGATTTCCTTTCTACTCCTTCCTTCTTGCGGTGTGCAGTATTTACAATAAACGATTAAACGAAGTTAATGTACAATCATTTATTATTAATGCCACTTCACATGAGGTAATACAAGCTGACTCATTGTTCTTGAAACGAGATTCCTTCCATCAGACGTCTGAACGTGTCGGTTCTTTAGGCCCCAGAGTTCCTCGCGGAATAAACCCGGCTCACCGCAGGCGATCCACTCTCATGCGTGGCCATTTCTTTCCGTATCAAACGAGAAAATCGTGATCCAGTGGATCGCTATTCCACGGCCGTGAATTTCACCGAAACGAGCCCATAAATAATCGGGACACCGATGCGCGTCGGGTTCCCGCTGGGCAGAATTTCGCCCCGGCTCCGATAATTAATCGATATCTCGAAATTACGAGCTCGATATTATACCAATACCACGACGTGCGCGCGCACGCACTCTTGCGCGCACGCGTAATCACGTATACGACGATCAGCAGCACGCGAAAGACCGGGATTAATGAAGATGCTGCAGCGAAATCCGAAGATGCAATTACTGACAGAACAAATCGGAGGTAATCTTGATTACGATCTACATCTGCTCCCGTACGTAACATCTTGGATTGCTAATTAATCGAGGTCTCCTCCCCTCTCTGCCCTTCTGGTTCCCCTTTCGCTCGTTCCCCCTCGCTGCTCACCAGGTATCGGACGTTATCTTTTACATTAATACCGTAATATACCAACCGGCGTGTTCGTTTACGGTGCATATGTGTATGTGTACATGCATATGCTTGTGTTTGAGTGTGTGAGTGTGTATCAATGCAAAAAGCGACCAACGTAGGCACCGGAATCTCGCAAAAACGATCGAAGACACGCGGAACAGCGGTGCTCGACGTGTTAACATCAGGAATGCAGTCCAATTTTTGTCCTATCCGTTCTTGCTGGTGTGAGCGCGCGGGTACACGGCTGGCAAGTCGCCATGTACGTGCACGTCATTTCATATAGGTCCTTGTTGTTAGCTATCTTGCAAGGTGGTAATACCGCCTCCTCTCCTTATCTATCCTATCCTCTGTTTCTCCTTCTTGCTCTTTCATACTCTTTTCTCTTTTTCTCTTCTCCATTACTCTCGTGGAACGACTCGTTTCCATTCAGCCCGAGTCTCCGCGTCGAGATATCGAAAAGGGGAAAATGTTTCGCGATACCCTGACAATTTTTAGCTATTCCGTTTGCTGGACTGATTACCTGGTCTGTGCCTGTCTAGCGTGGGTTGGTCGGTAATTATCGGCGGATGAGCGTGGCTGTAACAGGGACGATCTAGCTTGTTTTAACTTTTTTTATCTCCTTCTTTTATTTAGGGGTTGATTGTTGCTGATTTTTTTGCTGACTAGTTGCTTACTATGTTTCAGGAAACATCAAAACTAAGGCTGTGTTAGATGTGGAGTCGAAGAGAGGATACTGGCTGACAGTGTATGCACAGGATCACGGGGTGGTACCTCTGAGCTCGAGTTTGCAGGTATGTACGGAGAAAATAAATTACATGTTTAATGTATTAAGCTGTCCTGAGGAATATTACGCGTTTCGGAAGTTTGGATTGCCCGGACAACGCGGGTAATGAAAATACGAAGAAATGGAAGATATAACAATGTAATTACCACTCGTGTTATCGTATTTAAGAAAATTTTGCTTTTTTGGAAACATTTTTGCGTCTTATTACGTGAGAATTAAAATGTATGTAATATTATCATACTATTTTCTTATTTCATTTCGATTTTCAAATGTTTAAGCCGTAATTTCAATACCGGATTGTAATTTTAATTAAGCGGAGAAATGGATCGCTGTAGGGTGGCAGGAGATATTAAAAAATTACTAGAGAACTTGTTCATGAAATTGGTATGTTGAATGAGGAAACAGAGGTCGCGGGAAATATTAAGTATTCTATATCTAGATTTAAATTCTACATGAAAAATAACAAGAGAGATGAAATCGTCGTATTCATCCTTAAACTCGTACTTAAAACAATTATCAATTTTCTCTTCATAAGTAGATTAAAATTTTCATACTTCAAAAATAACTACGAAAATATAAGTGAATATGCATAATATTTTCAGGGCTACCTTAATCTCATATATCCGTGAGTAGTAGATTTTACTTCATTTTTTGTAGTTTTGGAATATTTCTAGAAAATCAAGTTTACAGCAGAACTTTGAATGTATTAAATAAATTGGATATAATTATCATTAATATATTGAACAGTGTATCTTGAATTGCACTAAAAATAAAATTCAATTATTATACAAAATTCACAAATTTGAGAAAATTTTATTAGTGTGTTAATAGTTATCTAATATTTATTTAATACATTTATAGGCCGTACTGTAGAGGAATTTCGTTAGAGAATGATTGTTTACAACGTCGTTTACTTTAGGCCATAAACATTTCAGTCCCAGTTTTGTCATTGTATTGGAAAAGTATCAGGCAACTTCTTATTTCATACTTTGTAGCCGTATAAACTCTTAACAGAGGAACGGTGGTCAGTGAGAGAACCAATTTTCTCCACCGACTTATGGACTTGAGAAAATTTTTCGTGCCACTTATCTCGCACTGTGATGCGGCAACGTACGTTATATTATTAGAAAAAAGGCTCTCCTTCTTCCAGGGAAAAGAAATAGTCAATTCAGAACGCTTTTATAATTACATAGGCCAATACAAATTTCACCGGTAATCCAACGTGGGTAGTTACAATCTCATCATGCATACCGTAATATACTATATGCTATAATCAGTACGTCAAATTTTTATTTTACCACTGATAACTCGCGGAAAATTATTAAGATAAGGAAATGAGAATTTAGTAATGATACTGTCGGACGTTGCGAAATGAGGTTATTACGAAAGTATATATAAAAATACTGTGTCTAATAATATTCACTTTCAACTGTACCTTAGAGGTTATAATACTCGTAGAAGATTAATACCGGATGTGATCTACTAATTACTATAATTTCAACTACAAATATTCCTGCTCCTTTCGTTTCGTTTCGCCTTAAAATCAATTTCCTTCATGTCTATAAATCCGTGCATTTTTCAAATAGAATCAAGTTTCACAGTTATTCATTCATTACCTGCGTGTTCGCAATTATCGTTAAATTATTCCAGAAGATTTTCCAAATTGATGCAGTTTTACTGGAAAAGACTGACTCGGTAATTCATTTCAACATGATATTATATTACTATAATATTACTATTTATAGAGCATTATATAATATTACTATTAACATGAAATAGTAATACAGGTTCAGTTTGTCTTGTTTACACTCGGAGATGTCTAGAGCGAACACGAGGCACCATGTTTTGCAACGAGATTACAATAATCGCCACAGATGTCACGTCGAGAGCAAGAAGAAACTGTGTCCTGTAGCGTAATTACAATAGTCATCATAGATGCCGCGTCCGGAGCGCAAAGGAGCTGTACATGGCTTGATTACAATAATCGCCATAGTTGTCGCGATAAACAGCATATTTGTATTCCTTTATAATCATTCCTGTTTGAGATGTTTATAGAAAAATTATCACTGATTATTACTGAGAATGGTGTACGAAGGATTCAAGTTTCTTTAATTATTTCAGATATTGAAGAGAATTCAAAACTCAAAAGAATTCAAAGGATTATAAATTCATTGCATATGGTAGTAAACAAACTAAATTGAAATTTTAAATTGGTAAACAATTTATTCCACTCTACTGTTTGGCGTGAAATATATATAGTTACAAACAGCAGACGATCCTAAGTGTCGGCGACTTCAACAATACCATTTGATCACCAATTGGGGCCACTGTTTAATACAATATTTTACGAGCATGCTATATCGTTTAGACTGTACAGGGTGTTTCGTTTATCTAGCGTTTCTCAATATCTTCGTTACATTTGTCAATGTGCAAAGATGATCTCCTGACAAATTGTTTGAACTTTTCTCTCAAGGTCATTTCTTCTGTTTTCTGATATATTAAAGGACACAAGGTAGATACACCCTATATATCTTTGTGCATTAACCAAAATTCTATAGTCACGTTCTTCATCATAATTTATTATAACCTTTCCTTACTCTCCTCCAAGTTCTGCTGTACTCTGATAGGACATGTCTACATGAACGTTTTTGATCTTACTGCATATGGCAATCTTTTTTTTCCATTTTTTCGCAATCATGCGCAACCACGAGGACGATCCACGTCTCGTAAATAATTCACAGTTCGCTTCTGTGCAGGTGTACGTGGAGGTGCTCGACGAGAACGACAACACCCCGTTGACCGAAGTCCCAGTGTACTATCCGTCTGTGCCGGAGAATTCACCGGCCGGCGTGAACGTTCTACAGATCCGGGCGTTCGATCGCGACGTCTCGCCTCAACAATTCACCTTTTCCATCACCAGCGGCAATCCGGAGGGTTATTTTCTCATCAACTCCACCACCGGTAAGTTGCACATGGTCAGACGGAAAGGAGCTAATATTTTACCCGGGAATCGAAGTAGATCGACTAACTATAATACCGCAGTGCTCGAAATCAATTTCCATATACTTCAACTTTTGATAAGCTTTAAGCACGAGTTTTGAATTTTCTTAAATTTCAACTGCATTTAATTTGTAAAGAAAACCTTTGTTAGACTATGCGTATATTGATCTGTCAGCCGGGTTTATTTATTAGACATTTCTTTCGGCGTGGAATTAGGAGTTTGTAGATGGCGATAAGCTTTATTGTGCGTAGCTCGTGAGAAGTTTTGTGGAAGGAATATATTTATAACTGGTTAAAGTGGAAGAGGGATGCTTTATTTGCCACATACTGTCGATTGTATTCAAGCTAATCGTGTATGCCAGTTGAGTTGTGTGGTACAGAGTGTTGATGAGACGGGTAGATGGCGCGACCGACTTAGCGCGACTTAGATCGAGCGATTGACGCGTCCTCTTGACCTGTGCCGTCTCGTGAGACTTCTTGCGAAGCTTGCGCAGTAAACGTGGATATAATGTAATTTATAATAGATGCATAGCGATGCATTGAAGGTGATGAATTAGTTACAAATAATTAATTGGGGTCAAGGTACAGATAAGACGGATGATCAGTCAACTTGTATTCCCTGGTTAGTACGTTAGGAGTAATCAATGGATTCTGAAGTACGTGGTGGAACGTTTGAGGGTAATTATAGTGACACGTGGTTATAAAAGACTATTTATTTTATCTAACATTATGTACCCATATTATATTCAAAGGTGAATATTTTTATTTCCTTGTTTATATTGAACATAAGATTTCATTAATTACCGAGTAGTTACTGATTAATGTTTTAAACTATATATTAAATTGCTAATGATATAAACTCATAAATGGCAGTGTTAAAATGTTAAAATACACTGAGAGGTATGCATTAGGAATTATTTTTCTGTTGATACATAGGTATATAGACAATATTCCTGGTTAGTGCAAGCGTATTTCAATTAAATAAAAAAGAAATCCTAATAAATGTTTGACTTCCATGATAGCTGAAATTAAACGTAATGGGTGGTAATTTTGTTCGCAATCTAGTTAATAACGGCGATGTGGCACAGAGATTAACCCCTGTCGCAATTCTTGCGATGAATTATAGATAGAAGGCATTTGAAGGGAATACGCATTGTAACGATGAGTTGCCATAAAAGTTGATGAGAGATTTAAATAAAATTTTGTCAATCAGATTGAAAATTCCTATTTTCTTTTATTACAAAATTTTGTGCAGCGAAATACCACCTAAAATTTTAATTTCAAACTCTTATCCACGATTAATTACTTCACTTGTAATTCCTCAACTAACCAACGTAAAATATAAACCGAATTATCCTTGCTTTTTAAAATACATCGTAACTGTTATTTTGTTAAATAAACTACTATAACCCTGTCAAATTTTTAACTTGGATCTTACAACGTACTACACCTCCAAAGAGGCTTAGTACTAATTGAATTCTATATTTTCTATTTCACGAAGAAAAGAAATATTTGTAATACCTTAAAGACTCAGTTTCAACTTGTGCAACAATTTATATCTCTCAGAAAGTCTGAATAACTGAAGCAAAAATTAAATATCACCCAAGATACAACATTCACTTCTCTACTTACTTTCTCTCCGTCAATAATTCGTCGTCCGTTATCTCTTAACAGCCTCTCAAAGCGTTTTCTTCCACGTTTGCGACTCGTGAAAGCGACCCGAGTCACTCGGATGCTAGTATAAGTGTAGGAGTCATTGTTTTCGCCTTACGCGATAACGTATGCAAATTGGGCTGATCGGGCTACCAGATTCATTATTCATCGCTCTCAGCCGGAACAGTCGCGTCAGCCTGCGGAATTACGATACGATGAAAAGTCAGAAAGTCGTTATTGAAAAAGGAGACGAGGAAAAGAAGAAAAAAAAAGGAAAAAAAGATGAAGGAAGAGAGGAAAAAATGAAGCAAGCGATTACAAGGGGGTTATATTACGGAGTCAAGAGTCAGAGAGGGCGAGGATATTGCGCGTAAATAGCCACGCGTATAGCAGACGAGCGAGAATCAATTTTAATGCGGGACAATTTGCGATACAAATTCGATTCGACCCTTCGTGAATAATCTTGGCGGGCCAGCGAGCGATTAAATCAGACTTTCAAATGAGCCAGGGGTTGAAATTGGACTTTTAATTTGAACGTCGACTACGTAGCAAGTGGCCCGGTTATTGCTGTCTTCATTAAACCGAATCTTTCTTCTAATCGTCAATTTACCGTTAAGCGATATGAAAATGTCGATACTGAACGAATAAATCTTGTTTATCGGTATATTATGGAGAGTCTTGATCGAGGGTGTTAAAATTGGCGCGTGATCTACCTTTCGATTTTGCGCTGTGTAATCAACCATGGTGTTCCGTAACTGGAAAGTTAGGTGTATACACGTTCGTATATTTATCCTCTTTAATTCTTTTCTTATTTCTGTGTCACTGTTCTGTTATGATAAGTCTACAATCTAAGTATAAAATGTTATATAATAACAATAATACTACTCTTGGCAACAAATTTTTGGCCAAATACGATAACACGAAATTAACTGAAATTACTATACCCTTTTAAATGCAATATGGTAAAATGTAGGCATAAAACAGGGCATTGAAAGTGCATGATCTAAATACCAGAGTTTATAGTGTGTGTTACAAGTGTTTGGATGCGGATGAAGGAGTGGATTTGGAAGAGTACTGGGTCAGAAATGTTAGGGGTGTGAAGAAGTGTTTGGGCGGAGTGCTTGAGATTATCGCGTGAACAAGGAATGCACGATTGCCTTGGGGTGAATCTCTTAGGAATAACTGGAAAGAGGGAGAGAAATAGAGAAATAAAAGCAGAGAAAACGTGTATGCGCATGTGCAAGAATATGCAATTAAGAAAGGTGTGCATGCCAGTAAAAAGCGAGTCTGTCAAGAATTAGGACTTAAGATTTAACAGTATACTTATTAAACTAAAAATAGTGAATTACAGGCCTTTTATTCTTGCAGTTATTGAAAACGTACAGCAGCTTCTGGAAAAATAATTATGGCTTTTATTGAAATGGAAACATATATTTGAATTTCTTTTCATCGCAACATTTTAATAACGTGAATGTTATTGTCTGTGTATATTACATTAGCTACACATTCAACAATGTTAATATTAAGGAATAGAAATGTAGTGTTTACAGCGTTGGTAATTTTTCAAGATTTTTTGAAAACCTAGGAACCTAGAAAATTTCGTTTTCGTTTCGAATACTACGATTACAATAATTATTGTCTCAACCAAGTGTTCGTTTAGTCAAGCATTCGTCTAGAAATTTCAATAGTAAATTCGATATTATGTAAATGCTAGGGGGTAGTAAATTTTGGCATATCGATCTACATATATTATGTAATTGTTTGTCAGTTGACTATTCTCGTTGGAATCTACAGGCATTAATTATAAATGACAACATCGGAGTGTTGTGATCGAAATTGCACGTCCAGTCAATTTTCCAATTATCCCGTAACGTTTCGTAATCGTTAATTAAACATCGTCATACCGCAAACGTATGAAACAAATTCAGAAAAATAAATCGAGATTTTTCTCCCAAAAATATAATTCCAATAAATACAGTTTACATGAATATCACAGTTAACAAAACAAAAATTATAAAATTTTGTTTTTTTATGTTAATTAAAGTTTTCTTTATAAATATATTTGAGACTTATAAATATAATTACCTGCACCACCACAATTAAAATAAAATCAAATCACCATCAACTTCTCCTTAATCAGTACCTCCCCTAACAAAAACTTTCGAATTTTCCTCTCAGATATAAACGGACCGTCACAAACGAAAATAAAACCCTCCGAAATCAATATCAAATTATCTTGAATCCCTCGTCAATCGTCACTTCGGCTGATTAAATACCCCGAGGCTTTCTTTTAAGCATAAATTCCACGTTAACGGCATAAAAGCACCGCAAGCCACGGCAAGAACCCAGAACGGTTGAATCTGATTGTAGATGAAAATCGGCGAATCGTTTCATCCCGCTTCCTCGTCACTCCAATTTTCTCCAGCCGCGTTCACGCTGGGGGTTAATTACAAACGTATGCGGAACGAAAGTCCCTCTTGCAATCGGAATTACACATCATCCATTCAGCTCGGCTTTTGCGCTTGCTCCTGCGGCGGCATCGTCTTACCTCGTGAAATTTCGTAAACGGTCATTTATCCCCAGTCATTTCGAAGATCGATGGCAGGCGGCGCGGAAAATTGCTTACACCGGTCGAAAACGGCCTGTAATTAAAAAGTCCACCGTCTCTCTGATTCGTATTCATTAGTCTTTCTGTGGAAAACTTTCCTCGGCTTGGATTGTCGATCCAGAAATTACGAAAGGGCTCCAGCCAAGCGCCACCCCAAGCTCGGTTCCTACTACCCTTCACGCTCCATAAGGAGGAGAAAAATGTTGACGTGAGAACGAGTTTCATGTTCATCGAAAATTGGCAAAAGACCGAAAAAATTGGACGAAGGATTGGTCATTGGATATTTGCAAGAGAGGAAACGCTGACCAGTAGAAGATGAGTCCTATCTCGATGTGTGTCAATGGGCTATCGAACAGTGAGCTTGCATGATCCTACACTGTCATGACGGTCACTGCTGATCGATTTTTTGAAAATATGAATGACGTAGATAAATATAGAATATTGCGAAATGAAACGTATGCAATTTTTCCTTTTTTTTCATCATATTGTTTAATAAATCATTATATCCTAAGTGTAATAGAAATTTAATTGTGACCTAAGCACACCGTGTAAAAAATGTCTGGAAGACAACGTGTTAATAGAATTTTGTTCTTTGATATAAGTAATTTTTGTATTTGAGTTTTATCTTAATTTTTTGGAAAGATTTAAGATTCTGGTAGGAATAGCTTTAAATTTCTAAATTTTACTTTTTCGTTTCTTT